GTATCTAAAGAAAAGACATCCCTTCCCCTTTTTAAGTAGATTGTAAACTCCATGAGGAAAGGGACTGTTTTTTGTTTGTCATTATGTCATTAGTGCCTAGCCCAGCACTTTGTACATGATAGCACTCAAATGTTTGCTGAATGAATAAGTGGATTCATTTTCCTTTATTCTACAGTCTTTTAAGAAATATCTCATATTGATTTTTGTTTCCTTTTTAAACAAATTGAGATTTCCATTGATATTTACTACCAGATATAGTGTGCAGCTTGTCCTTGGCTTGGCTGTTCATTCATTCATTATTTATTTATTGAGCACCTCATATGTGCTGGGCAGTGTGTAAGTTACAAGGATGGCCGTAAAGATGACAAACATGGTCCCTGCCTCATGGAACATACAGTTTAGTGAGGGAAGTCAAGCATTAAATTTCTTGGTGTATTAGTGTTATAAAAGGGCAAGGACAGGGTGAATAGGTATGGGCGTTATAATTGTTGGAGTGAATGTAGGCTGGGGCATGAGACAAGGCATCCCTGAAAAAGATGTAGAATCATAAAGGCATGCTGATTGGTTAGAAAAGTTAGGTGAGTGAGAACTAATACAGGATGATTGAGCAACTGTGTGATGATGCCAATTTACTGGGCTAGAAAATACTAGAGGAGACTGGTTCAGAAAAGAAGCATGGAGTGAAATTTGGTTATCCAGATGATAGGTGACAGAGCAGTGACAGTGAATGAACAGCCCAGGAAGAGTATGTAGAGTGAGCAGAGATAGGGGCAGGGAGGGCATGGGTTGAGAGAGGGTTTTAATTTTTTTAAAAGATGGGGAATTCGAGAGTATTCAAATGCTGATGGAAGGAGCTATTAAAAGAAGAGGCTCAAAATACAGAAGTCAAAATATAAAAGGTACCAAGGGAGAATGGGAGGGGCTGGAATACAGAGCTAAGGTAAAGAATTTAGCCTTAGAAAAAGAAATGCATCTATTTTAATAGAAGGAGAGGATGTCTGTGAATAGGCTTAAGTTTGTAGATTTGTTGGTGGGAAGTTGAGGGGATTCTTTCTGATAATTTTGATGACTTTTATTTTGCTTTGAGATATAGAAGCCAAAACCATTGACTGAAAGTATTGGGGAGAAATGGGCGGTCACAGAATGTTCAAAATAGTCATTTAGGTGGGTGGCAAAGGGAGCTGACTAGATGAAAACAGTGGATTGCTGAGCAAAGAAAAGGGTTCAGTTGAAATATGCAACCATGGATTTCTAGTATATCAGTCTGCCTAATTATGTGACTTTTCCCAGCAGTGCTCAGCAGCCTTGGTATAGTTGGAATCAGCTTGAATTTTGATTTTGCCTGGTATGTGGGATCAGAGAACAAGGGGCAAGGGAGTTTGGAATATTGGTGGGAGGGTGGTTGAAACTACAGATCAAGGATTCTAATTTGGGGAGGGAGGGAACTAAAGACCAGAGGAAACTAATGCCTAGGTCTCTAAAATATCTTATTACCACATTTGTTGAAACGACTTCCTAAAATCTGAGAAGGGAAAAGAAGCTCTACTATGTTTCTTGTTCTGTTTCATGCCGGTTTTTCATTTATGCACCTATCTTTCTCTCTCTCTAGTGATCTAACCAGAAACTTTTAAAGTTGTATAGGTTGGTAGCAAGATTTGATTCTTTTAAGATTTATATGTGCCCCTTGCAGAGCCATGACACACCTCAGTTCTGTATTCTTTATGAGGTATGCTATGAGACTAGTGTCCTGTGACTCTTTAGATAACTCCATAGATATGGTGTTAAGTTTTGATCAATTTGTGAAGTTTATTTTTGTCACAGCTGAGTATATTATTACTTCAGTGTCTTTCAGTTTGACTGTTGAGCTGAGTGATAGAAGTGATATGGAATAACTTGCTGTAAGAAGAACCATAGAATATTAAAGTGGTGCCAAAGGGGTGGGGGCAAGTGTTTTCACTGAGAATTTTGTTCTTAAGTATGTTGTTGTTGTGTGTTGTTGAGTTGATTTTCGACTCGTAGTGACCCTGTGTGACAGAGTAGAACTATCTCATAGGGTTTTTTAGGCTGTAATCTTTACGGGAAGAGATCACCAAGTCTTTCTCCCGCAGAGCCACTGCATGGGTTCAAACCGCCAACCTTTCAGTTAGCAGCCAAGTGCTTGACTGTTGTGTGACCAGGGCTCAGTATAAAAGGGTATATGTTAGTACAGTAAACAGTTCTTAAATAGCAACACAGGACTGAAGGATAGCCAAGTAAATAGTGTGGTAACTGCATGTTTTTATAGGCATTTTATACATATGATAAAGTGATAATAACTATGTTATACATATTGGCTGGTATTATGATTGTTATTAGTTTCCTATTGCTGCTGTAACAAATAACCACAAATTTAGTGGTTTTAAACAACAAAAAATTACTGTCTTACATTTGTTACAGTTCTGGAGATCACAAGTCTGAAATGGGCCTTACAGGGCTAAAGTTAAGATATTGGTAGATCTGCGTTATTTCTGGAGGCTCTAAGGGAGAATCCGTTCCTTGCCTTTTCCAGCTTCTAGAGATCATCCTCATTTCTTGGTTTCTGGCTGCATCACTCTGACCTCTGCTTCTGTCATCATATCTTCCCTGATTCTTTTGACTTCCTTTTCTGTCTTTTAAAGACTCTTGTGATTACATTGGGTCCACCTGGATAAAATACAGGATAATCTGTTTTAAGATCATTAATTACCATCTGCAACACCCCCTTTGCCATGTAAGGTAACATCCAGGGATTCCAGGGATTAAGGCATGGACATCTTTGTGTGTGGGGGTGGGGTGGGGGGCAGTATTAACTTTGTTTGACTTTGTCTTTTTTTAGGATTGTTTTGGCTATTCTCGGTTTCTTGCATTTCTATGTGAATTTTAAAATTAGATGGTTATTTATGCAAAAAAAGACAACTGGGATTTTGATAGGTTTTGTGTTGACTCTATAGCTCAATTTGGGAAATATTGCCATTTTAACAATATTAAGTCTTCCAATCCATGAACATAGGATATCTTTCCATTTATTTAGATCTTTAATTTCTTTCAGTGACTTTTTTTATAGTTTTCAGTGTTCATTTGTGTCATCTCCTTGGTTAAATTTATTCCTAGATATTTTATTCTTTTAGATGCAATTGTAAATGGAATTATTTTCTTAGTTTCCTTTTCAGATGGTTCACTGCCGGTGTATAGAAACACAACTGATTTTTGGTGTTGATTTTGTACCCTGCAACTTTGCCAAATTTATTAGCTCTGGTAACTTTCTTATGAATTTTTTCATTTTTGGGTTTTCTACATATAGGATCATTCCATCTGTGAAGAGAGATAGTTTTACTTTTTCCTTTCTGATTTGGATGGCTTTTATTTTTTTTTTTATTGCCTGTTTGCTCCGACTAGAACTTCCAGTACAATGTTGAGATGAAAGCAGGCATCCTTCTCATGTTCCTGTTCTTTGAGGGAAAGCTTTCAGTCTTTCACCATTGAGTATGATGTTAGCTGTGGATTTTTTGAAAATGCCCTTTATCAGGTTGAGAAATTTTTCTTCTATTCCTAGTTTGCTGAATTTTATTTTATTTTTAATGAAAGGGTGTTGAATTTTGTCAGATGCCTTTTTTGCATTGGTCGGCTGCTAGCAGAAAGGTCAGAGATTTGAGCCCACCAGCTGCTCCACAGGAGAAAGATGTGTAAGTCCACTTCCATAAAGATTTTCAGCCTTGGAAACCCTGTGGGGCGGTTCTGCTCTGTCTTATAGGGTTGCTGTGAGTTGGAATAAACTTGATGGCAGTAGGTTTTAATATGATCATGTGGAGTTTTTCCCCCCTTCATTTTCAGTATGTTGAATCAGCCTTGCAGTCCTAGGATTCACTCATCAATTCTTGAGTTTGAGGAAATCAATCTACAGTATGATCATGTGAAGACTCACAGTCTGAGATTTCCTTTATACAATCAATTTCACCTTCATCGTTAGAGACTGGAGTGCTCATCTGTCTCTTTGCCTTCATCTTCTGATCTAATTGTTGAACTTCTTCTTCTGGCAGTGTTCTTCTCTTTGACATTCTGAGCGGAAAATGAAAACTCCTGTGTTCTCAACTGTGTTCAGTGACAGCTTAAGAAAAAAAAAAAGAGTACAAAGCTGGTGTCTCTAGACTTTTTTTTTTTTATCTTCTTAAAAGATGTTGCAGTACTTCGGGCAAAGCAATAAGAAAACTGAAAGATGTTGTAAGAGTGATAATTTATTTCATTATTGCATCATTCTTCTAGACAATTTCAGTATTCTTCCATTGTCTTATTGTATTTTCTATCTTCTACAGTGTACATGGATGGTATAATAATAAAGCAATTTTTTTTCAAGACCTTTTCCAAATTGTATTTTCTTGTCTGGCTAGCTCACAGTTTTTCCTCAGCCGGGTGCTCTGCAGTGGCTTAGATGATGTTGGCAGCTTAGTTGGGTTGGAGTGGACAGAGTGGAGACATCCTGATCTTTAGCCAATGAGATACAAATTGAGAATATGGCATGAATTGAGAATTCACTATATTGTAAATCTGTTTGGGCAGACTACCTGGTCCTGATAAGTAGGCTTCTGAGATGGAATGCTGGCTTGAACAGTGGAAAATCTGTAGCTGCTGTAAACTTCTAGAATCTTAAACTGTGTGTGTGTAGGGTATATGGAAGTGTTGTCCAAGAAATGGAGAGTCAGTGGAAAGGGTAGACTATTTATAGCTACATATTTCTATTTTCTATTTTTGAGTACCCTCAGTGATATCCACCTTCATCTCTTTATAGGTTCCCAAAGTGCTACAGTATACTTTTAAGGAATTATTTAAATATTTAGGTCTTTTTTTGTTATACAGTTAAAGTTTTTATACTATATATTTAAATATAGTTAATTCCGTATAATGCATTTCAGATCAATTCTTAATGGTATTTTGAATAGACAATCAAAAAAAATTTAAAACATATTTTCCCACATTTTCTTTTACAGTTTTGGTAATACACAATAGCACAACCATGTTTCGGAATAGTCTCAAGATGCTTCTTACTGGTGGGAAATCAAGTCGCAAAAACAGGTCAAGTGGTAAGTGATTATGCTACATTTATTCTGTGTAATATTTTATAAATATAAGTTCTTTTAGGGATATGAATTACCATATTTGTGTGAAAATATGTAATGCTGTAACAATTTATATATTTATTAAATGGGTTTACTTAATTTAGAAAGAAGAAAGTTTACATTCCTATAGGCTGTCATACTGTCTTTATTAAGAGGTAGAAACACGTGGAACACTTATCAGGAGTAGTAGGGTAAAGGAAAAGTTTGTGAAGGAAAAATATTTCTTCTAATATATGAGATTAATGCTTCAGTGCATTATAGTCTTATTAAAAATTTTCTAGACCTAAATTTATTTATTTTTTTGAGTTAACATATGAAATTATTGCAGTCTAAAGCACTCTTTGGGAAATGAGATAGTAAAAATAGGAACTATCCATACAAGTTTGTACAGAAAGTAAAATAACAAGTTGGAGATTTTTACAGCCATTAAAGTGAAATTTGTGAAGTTTTTTTGAAATACAAAGTTTTTTATTTTTAAATTTTTAAAGTTAAAAAAAGAGCCAAAACTTTATATATACTTTTTTGGGAAAAATATTGAAAGGAAACAATACCAAAATGTTTGTTTTCTGTTGGTAGACTTTTATTATAATGAGGTGGCAGACTTTTATTATGTTCTTTTTTGGTTTTTTTTTTTTGCTTTAAGTGAAAGTTTAGAGTTCAAGTTAGTTTCTCATACGAAAATTTATACACACATTGTTATGTAACCCTAGTTGCTCTCCCTGTAATGTAACAGCACGCTCTTCCTTTCCACCCCGGATTTCCTGTGTCCAGCAACCAGCTCCTGTCCCTTTTTGCCTTCTCATCTCATCTCTGGACAGGAGCTGCCCATTTAGTCTCATGTATCTACTTGAGCTAAGAAGCATTCTCTTCATGTGTATCATTTTACGTCTTAGAGTCCAGTCTAATCTTTGTCTGAAGAGTTGGCTTCGGGAATGGTTTTAGTTCTGGGCTAACGGAGAGTCCAGGTGCTGTGTCTTCCAGGGTCCCTCCAGTCTCAGTCAGACCATCAAGTCTGGTCTTTTTACTAGAATTTGAGTTCTGCACCCCACTTTTCTCCTGCTCCATCAGGGAATGTCTGTTGTATTCCCTGTCAGGGCGGTCATTGGGGGTAGCCGGGCACCATCTAATTCTTCTGGTCTCAGGCTGAATGGAGTCTCTGGTTTATGCAGCCCTTTCTGTCTCTTGGGCTAATACTTTCCTTGTGTCTTTGGTGTTCTTCATTCTCTTTTGCTCCAGGTGGGTTGGGACCAAGGGATGCATCTTAGATGGCCGCTTGCTAGCTTTTAAGACCGCAGACACCACTCACCAAAGCAGGATGCAAAACAGTTTCTTAATAAACTTTGTTATGCAGGTTGACTTGGATGTCCCCTAAAACCATGGTCCCCAGACCCCCGCCCCTGCTACTCTGTTCCTCAAAGTATTTGGTTGTATTCAGGAAACAGCTTTGGTTTAGTCCAGTTGTGCTGACTTCCCCTGTATTGTGTGTTATCCTTCCCTTCATCTAAGATAATTCTTGTCTACTATCTAGTTAGTAAATACCCCTTTCTCTCCCTCCCCATCCTCGTAACCATCAAAGAGTGTTTTCTTCTGTGTTTAAACCTTCCCTTGAGTTTCTTATAATAGTGGTATCAGACAATATTGTCCTTTTGTGCCTAATTTCACTCAGGATAATGCCTTCCACATTCATCCATGCTATGAGGTGTTCCACAGATTCATTGTTGTTCTTAATCGTTGCATAGTATTCCATTGCGTGAATATACCATAATTTGTTTATCCATTCATCCATCGATGGGCACCTAGGTTGTTCCATCTTTTTCGTATTGTGAACAGTGCTGAAGTGAACATGAGTGTGCATATATGTATTCGTATGATGGCTCTTATTTCTCTAGGATATATTCCAAGGAGTGGGATTGCTGGATCATATGGTACTTCTATTTCTAGCTTTTTAAAGCAGTGCCAAATCGATTTCCAAAGTGATTGTACCATTTTACATTCCCACCAGAAGTGTGTAAGTGTTCCAGTCTCTCCACAACCTCTTCAACATTTATTATTTTGTGTTTTTTGGATTAATGCTAGCCTTGTTGGGGTGAGATATCTCATTGTAGTTTTGATTTGCATTTCCCTAATGGCTAATGATCATGAGTATTTCCTCATGTAACTGTTAGCTGCCTGAATGTCTTCACTGGTAAAGTGCCTGTTCTTATCCTTTGCCCATTTTTTAATCGGGTTGTCTTTTTATTGTTGAGGTTTTGCAGTATCTTGTAGATTTTAGAGATTAGACACTGATCAGATTTGTGGTAGCCAAAATTTTTTTCCCAGTTTGTAGGTTGTCTTTTTACTCCTTGGTGAAGTCTTTTGATGAGCATGTTTGATTTTTAGGAGCTCGCAGTTATCTAGTTTCTCTTCTGGTGTTTGTGCATTGTTACTTATGGTTCATATTCTGTTTATGCCATATATTAGGGCTTCTAGCATTGTCCCTATTTTTCCTTCCATGATCTTTATCGATTTTGATTTTATATTTAAGTCTTTGATCCATTTTGACTTAGTTTTTGTGCATGGTGTGAGGTATGGTTCTTCTTTCATGTTTTTGCAAGTGGATATCCAGTTGTGCCAGTACCATTTGTTAAAGAGACTGTCTTTTCCCAGTTAATAGACTTTGGGCCTTTGTCAAATACCAGCTGCTCATAGGTGGATGGATTTATGTTTGGATTCTCAATTCTGTACCTGTTGTCTATGTATCTGTTGTTGTACCAGTACCAGGCTGTTTTGACTACCGTGGCAGTAAAAAGTTTCTAAAATCAGGTAGTATGAGGACTCTCACTTTGTTCTTCTTCTTCAGTGATGCTTTACTTATCCAGGGCCTCTTCCCTTTCCATGTGAAGTTGGTGATTTATTTCTCCATCTCATTAAAAATTGCTGTTGGAATTTGAATTGAGATTGCATTCTATCTATAGATTGCTTTGGGTAGAACAGACATCTTCACAATGTTGAGTCTTCGTATCCATGAGCAAGGTATGTTTTTCCTTATGTAGGTCTCTTGGTTTCTTGCAATAGTGTCTTGTAGTTTTCATTGTATAGATCTTTTACATCTCTGGTTAGATTTCTTCCTATGTATTTTATCTTCTTGGGGGCTATTGTAAATGGTATTGATTTGGTGATTTCCTCTTCGAAGTTCTCTTAGTTGGTGTAGAGAAATCCAACTGATGTTTGTATGTTTATCTTGTATCCTGAAACTTTGCTGAAATCTTCTATTTGTTCCAGTAGTTTTATTGTAGATTCTTTGGAGTTTTCTGTGTATAAGATCATATTGTCTGCAAATGGAGATACTTTTACTTCTTCCTTACCAATTTGAATGTACTTTATTTCTTTTTCTAGCCTAATTGCTCTGGCTAGGGAGAGAACCAGACTCTCTCAAAGCATATATCTGAAAATTATGGTTCTGTTAACAACCAGTGGAATCTGCCACTTTGTTTTGCTAACCTAGTTATGAGTTTTGTTTATTTTTAACATTCCTGATAGTCTTTCCCATACCAAGGGTTAGAAGAACAAACCCCCTCCCAATTTGTCCAAATATAAGATAGAACGTCCTTAAGCTTGTCACTAATGCTAATATTTTGATATGAAGTTTGCAGAGATATAGAGCTATCATAGTATGAATCAGAGTCTTGTCCATTTTGAAGATCTTAAAAGACTTGGTTTCTCATCTGCAAAGCTGAAGATTGGGTCCTGAACCATAAGATTTCACCATATGAGTGCCCCTGCCTGGGAAACCAACCAGCTGGTTGTCTAGAAGATAGATTCTATGATTGTTCTTGACAGGGAAATTCTTTTCTAGTCTGAAGTGGGAGACATGACCTTATTTTTTTCTCCAAAATATTTTTTAATGACGTGAGTTCTTTTTGTGCCCCTAAGGGGCCAGGTTTTTCAAACTCACGTGTTAGGAACAGACTTGTCTGCTTTTTTTGCTTACCTCCAATCTATTCCTAAAGTTTAACTACTAAAGACCTGACAGCTTGAAAAGGTGGAATGTTCAGTGAGAGAAAGACAATACTGAAGAAAAAAAATCCGTATTTTCAAAGTAATGCCTGGCTGTGAAAAGGTCATTAAAAAAACAGGAAAGAAAGAAAAGACCAAAATGGATGTCAGAAGAGACTCAGAAACTTGCTCTTGAAGGTAGAGTAGCTAAAGTGAATGGAAGAAAGATAAAGTAAAAGAGCTGAACAGAAGATTTCAAAGGGCAACTAGAGAAGACAGAGTAAAATAGAATGAAATGTGTAGAGATGTGGATTACAAAACCAAAAGGGAAGAACATGCTCAGGATTTCTCAAGCTGAAAGAACTGAAGAAAAAATTCAAGCCTCAAGTTGGCAATTTTGAAGGATTCTATGGACAAAATATTGAATGATGAAGGAAGCATCAAAGGAAGATGGAAGGAATACACAGAGTCACTACCAAAAAGAACTGGTCAATGTTCAGCCATTTCAGGAGGTAGCATATGATCAAGAACTCGTGGTATTGAAGGAAGAAGTCTAAGCTGCACTGAAGACATTGGTGAAAGCAAGGCTCCAGGAGTTGACGGAATACCAGTTGAGATATTTCAGCAAACAGATATAGTGCTGGAAATGCTCACTCTCCTATGCCAAGAAATTTGGAAGACACCTACCTGGCCAACCAGCTGAAGAGATCCATATTTGTGCCCATTCCAAAGAAAGGTGATCTGGTAAAATGCAGAAATTATCAAACAATATCGTTAATATCACACGCAAGTAAAATTTTGCTAAAGATCATACAAAAGTGGTTGCAGTAGTACATCGACAAGGAACTGCCAGAAATTCAAGCTGGATTCAGAAGAGGGCATGGAACGAGGGATATCATTGCTGATGTCAGATGTATCCTAGCTGAAAGCAGAGAATACCAAAAAGATGTTTACCGGTGTTTTATTGACTATGCAAAGACCTTTGACTG